AGATCAGCCGAAGTTAAGGAAATCAAGATATCTGAAATTATCGTTTCAAAATACATAAAGTAAAAGAAAAAAGTTTTCAGTTGTTTACTTAACATTGACGATTTTGTGACTAGTGAGCATAATGGCAGGACCTTTAGATATTTCCTAGAACATGCCCACTTGTACATCACACTGGGTCGACACTCTTGCTACCTGACAAGGGATCGCCATAAAATCATTTGACTTTTCACTAACGTCCATAATGACGAACTGCCAGTGGGTCAGATATTTTTGTATATTTTCAAATCGTTTGCGGAAGCACTAGAAATGTTGCTAAAAATCGGAAAAAAATCACACAGTCATTTGAACTAATGAGCTCTCGTTTCTATAAACTTGCCAATTGAAATTCGGACCAAATGTTTTTTGAGCCTGCCTATTGGACAGTTCGCATCATTCATTTCAAATCCTTCAACTACTTTCAAGGATTCACCTTTAAGTAGACCAACCAAATACTGTTGCTTCTGCATTCAGGTTAGATCTGGATCCTTGTATATTGTTGTCTCGAAGTTGTTCATCCAGAATAACCACTTTGTCCAATCTCCATCAAACTCCACTAATTTAATCTCTGTTGTGTTGCTTCCCATCTGAGTACATTTTGATCATTATTTGTTCTGATTCCCTGTGTTCTTCGACCATCTCCAAGCTGATCCCTCTCATCTTCCATAATCTTTTGTGTTTTTGCTGCAATCATGTAATATCTTTCTTCAAAATAACTCCTTTCAGCTTCATTTTCTATTGCGAAGGCTTTTCTGGTCTCCTCGTTGTCAATGACAATGTCCTGAAGTTGATCTTGAACTGCTTGAAATTCGTCGAAATATCCTTCCATCTTTTTTAATCGAACCTGAGCCTCAACTGCATGTATGGTTCTTAATGTTGTCAAACCGTTATCGGCTCTAGTTAGATTGCCCTTTATTTTGGCTCTCTTTTACTTCAACTTGACTAAATCTGACATAATGATGTGGGAAAGGTTGATATGGGAAGGAAATGGAACGACTCACTAACCTGATTTTCTTTCTCGATGTCCTACGTTGCAATGACTCACGACGTTTCCTTGGGACCTCGTCACATTGAGGAACTGCTGGCTCACCTCGATGACTTCGATGCTGTTGGAGTACGTTTACGAGTCTCTTACTCGCCAAACGTATTGTTGAATGACTTCTAAGAGTCTCTCACTCGCCCAAACGTGTTGAACTGCTTCCACGAGTCTCCCACTCGCCCAAATGTGCTGTTGAACTGCTTCCACGAGTCTCTCACTCGCTCCATCGTGTTGGAATGTGTCCACGAGTCCCTCACTCTTGATTCTGATATTTTTACTGATTTTTAATCTCCTACTGAGATAAATCCCGATGTTTTGCTTTCGTCTTGTGGCGTTGAATGCTTGACTACACCACACGCAATCACGTGTATCGCCCCGACGCTTCTGATGATTTTTCTATCATTGGCCTTTTTTCACATGAGTTTTCTCCGACTCAAAGTCGTGAGTTTTCGCTGTTGGGCGCCAATGTTAATTTGTGAGGTTTTTTTCAGTGAATAGATGCCATTTCAATCTCATAATTATTCTTTTATTACGAACAGAAAAATAAACTCTTGTGGTTATATTTTCGACATATTCTTAAACTGCTCTAGCGCCAGCGTTCGTTCGTTTTTGGTAATCATCTTTTGTGTGTGACATTTTGAATTTAAATCATGAACAGATATACTAGAGTTTAGAATGAAATTTTGAGATATTTGATCGATTAATAAGATTGGTACCTTCCGCAAGAATTGCTAGAGTGTACGTTAAACATCTCGCACTATCCACTAATAGCATTTTTTTGCACAAAAATCCATCGTATACGACGAAGAAAATCAAGAAACACATTTGGTATTGGTGACCACAACGGAGGTGTGCTTGTTTCACCTCATCGTTCGGAGAGATGTCAACTCTCTTCTCATGCACAGAGACATATGGTTCGTGTGTGACAATGAGATTGTGTTTCTTTGTACGATTTTTTGGTAGACGAACGACGACCAACGTTTCAATAAAAATCATTCGGTTGTCTTATTGTTCCGTATCTCTGTGTTTAAGAACAGAATCGTCATCTCTCCGGATTATGAGGTGAAGCAAATATACTTCCGTTGCCGTTACCAAAACGAAACGTGTATGTTCATTTTCGTCGTCGTATGCTTCGAATTTTGGTGCACCAAAAACGGGGTAGTTCAGGATGTCAATGATTACAAATACTTAATAATCACTTGCTGTAAACAATGAAATGTTTGGGACTCAATTCAGTTTGAGCGAAAGCATCACTATGAGTAGAGAAGTAACTCCAGAGTTTGTAATTCAGTGAACTAAATTCACAACTGGAATTATATTCTCGTGGCCTCCAAGCTTGAAATCAACACGCCTCACACAGATTATTTTCAAAATATGTTGGTGGATTTCCTTGACTGTCTGTGAAGCAAACATTCTTTCAGCGATGAAGACAGCGTATCGAAACCGGAGCCATTTCCTCAAATTGACTGAATGTCTAGTCTTATTGTTTTCTCTGCTTCTAATTGAAGCAGTGATGATCATTGCGAAATATCATTATTATCGGTTTCAGGTGAGCAGTAATGGTTAGCAGTAATGCACCCAGAAAAATGATTTATTTTAATCAATTTATTAAGTTCATTTAATTAATATGACAAAGTTTTTTTCAAAGCAAACTTTTTCAAGTTTGAGGTTCGGTTTATATTAAATAATTTTGTTTTGATTATTGCTAAATCTTCGTCTGATCCAAATAAATACGAAAACTTTTTATTCGCAATATTCATTGAACTTCGATAAATTATGGATTTGAAAAAATGAATTTTTTCTCGTTTTCGATAAAAATGTTATTCGAAATTGATGAATCTTTGATTTTATATATTTGAATTCTTTTTCTTGAAACATGCAAATAAGTTCATCAATTTGTAATACCGGCATAGTTGTCATAAGTAAATAATTATAAATAAATATTTTCATTTAATTCAAATCAGTCCAAAAAGCATTTTTTCCGATGATAGATAATAATTCTCATTAAATTTGCCATGTTTTCGACAGTATTTAATTGAAAAAATTGAGACATTCGTGGAAACTGTAAATCCTCGCCAACGAAAAGTGCTTATGAATTACGCAGCGCGCGCAGCTCTATTTTACTGCCGATATAATATTTTGGCTTTAGTTGAAGCTTTGGTTGATGTGTGTGTTCCTTTCGTACGGGATCAACCATTACCACATATGGCTGAATTTCCCTTTCCTATAAATGCGCATCCTACTTATGATATAATTTTTATATTAGAAGCGATGGGGACTATACAAGCCTACTGTCAATGGGCTTTTATTTGTCAATTGTGTTTACTCCTGTCGTATGGAATAATTCAGTTGGAATTTCTCGCTGAAAAAGTTGAGCGCATCACCAGTTCTCAAGAACTCGTAGAGGGCATCCACATACATCAGCACAGATTATGGTAATTTAAATATTTTCTAATCTATACCGGCTTGTTTACCGGACCGTCTCGATTTGTACCATTCAAATTATATTTTAGGATTGAGAATCGGACTTGACCCATATAGTTCAAATATCAGAACAAATGAACAAAAAACACAGAGTATATTCAGTTAATCAAGTACACTGAGAAAAACGTTCGGCTCAGTCAACTCCACAAATTGAGTTGAATGAAAATCAGCCTTGGTGACCGTATTTCGGTCTTACCGACGGGTATTTGACCCGTTGACCATTTATTATTACCATCATCCAATTCCCGAAATGCGTTGAACCTCCGACTCAATATACGGTCGAGACAACAATACAGCGATTGGGTCAAATCTCCATGTTGTTGGTTAAGGCGCATACCTCCAACTCCATGGAAAGGTTGAATGAGAAATATCGTTCGGCTCTTTCATATAAATGTAATGGCCGTTTCAAGAAGATGAAAGGCAAATGCAATCCATGAAGTTTGCCGAATTGTATGTTTATATGCAGTTGATCTGCTCATTTGAGGAGTCAATCTGAAGATGAAATTTGTTTGAATGTCACCGCTTCCCCCTCTCTAGAAGCATTAAATTAAACTGCCTTATCAAAACACTTGTCATTACTGACTTATGTGGCTACATTTTTTATCGAGATACAGAAAAAATTAGAATCGAAATAAAGAGACTGATGGAGGCAATGAATTATTCATAATAGAGTAAATAGCCATGTCTCCAAATATATAGAAATAATTGAACATGGGCATTTGAATTTGTACGCTTCTCAATCACTTTTCTCATCAAGATTTTAATTCCTTCTCAGCCAAGCGCACGTTTCGCCACTTCTTCTCTCCTTCTATTGTATGGGATTGACCTGAGTTTAATGGCAGGGTTCAACATGTGACGACCAACTGGTAACCTTTTTTTTTGCGTTGACAACTTCTGAGAATTTCTATTGTTGAGAATTTTCCCCCTGGATTTTTTAAAAATTTGTCTTTGCATATTAGTGAGTAGCGAAACTCATTAAATCACAGTTGAGAGTAATAAAAAACATGATCTGTGGACGAGATGATCATTTCTCATTTGAATTACACGGAGAAGAATTTCTAATAGGAATTTTCCCGAGAATGGAAATTCTCTGAAAATCTCCTGTGCGTGTGATAGGTTGCTGGGTACATTTGCATGAGAACATTTTCCGCCTGTTTACAATTTCTTAATTACCCCAAACATTAGGCGCCACAGTCTCCGGCACGTGCGATACCTGGGTGTACCCAGAGACAGGGGGTCTTGACCTGCTGACGTCAAGGGGTTTTCCCAGTGTTCTAGCCAATGTACTTACAAGACAATTTGGGGGGAGGGGGTAAGGAGAACCAATCGTAGATATCCAAGAATATCCCCAACGAAAGGCTTGCATGTTATACCTTGAACTGGTGGCGGCATAGCCAAAGGTGTGAAGCGTCCTTGCGGTCATTCGGCACTCAGTGTTCAAGCGGAGTAATCGTAATATTTAAAGTCGTGTTTTGGTTGTTGAAGGATTTAAATTTGTGATTTTTTTTCCAAAGTGAAGAGTGTCTTTTTTGTACAAGTGGTAGTGAATATATTTCATTTCCCTATGGCTGATGCAACAATAGATGAGTTATTCATGCGGTGGGGGATAAGTCTCTTACTATCAGATTTTCAACGTGAGTAAAAAAACTTATATGTTTATATTTTCATTAAACAATGAGAAGTTTAGGATTTATAAATCTTGAATTCGTCTCTCGCAGGAAATTTCTTTATTTATTAATTGGGCATATAAATTAAGTTAGTCAAAGTAATATCTGTATTATTCATCCGTTCCTTTCTGGATTACTTAAACCGTAAGAAAGGACATTCATCTAACTTAATAATATTTGAATGCATGCGGTATAGCTGCAAGAAATCATGGGAGTCACATTGCAGCAGTGCTGTGTTATTTTACTGGCGTGAGTCTTCTTTTTATTGCCATTTGGGTAATTTTTTGTATTCAAAATTTATTTGAACATGTGATTTTGTTTGTTATAAGCAAAGATATCGGTATTGAAGAATTGAAGAAACTTTCGACGTCCGAAATTGAAGCCATTATTGTACATCCTCGATTGGTAAAGGAATTTCTAACTAAATGGAAAACTGAATGCAAATCCAACACTAAATTTGGCGGCGACCGGATGACTGAACCTCTTCAACCAGAAATTGTAAGTTTATTACTTTTTTTTTCTTTCAGTGCATTTACTCCGGAAGAGTTGAATAATTAGTTTAATCCTCAATTGATTCAGGGCGTTGATTGTGTCTGTAAGATTATGGGGGACGGTTTCCATGTCACCTCCCAATTTGACGAAAATTTCAGTCTAATCCAACTTTTGAATGGCGCATCGGATTCGCATTAAAAAATCTAAAAATCATGAAAACACTCACCAACAAGTTCCTTAAATAATTTTTCAGTTTCTATTTCTTTGTGTCTATTAGAAGGCCATTTTTAAATCGATTCAAGTAGAATTTTCGATTGTTGGTAGCAAATATTCATACATAATGCAATGAAAATAATCTAAAAGTTGAAGAGACAACAATTAAAAAATAGAAAAAACATCTTCAAAAGTCATCGTTGTTCTTAAAAATTATTTAGGAAGAAAGCGGAATTACAAAATTATTATTATGGAGAAAGCGAAAAAACAAAATTTTGAGCGTTCTCATGTTGTCATTGACTGTCTCATGTATGAATTTCAATGAAAAAAATCTAGATTTCTTATATGAACATCGCATAAATGTCATCTTTTTTTGGAAATGATGAAACCCGTTGATTTCCAAGTACTATTATTTCTAGTTTGATCAATATTCATTTGTTCATTGCTGATGTGTAATATTTCTCTGACGTTGTCAGTTGTACGAAGGCTGCGGTATTAATACCATCGATATCCAATTCATGCTAATAAGTTTATTCTTTGTTTTTCCAGGTTATACCAAATGCAAATGAAAGCAATTAAGAATCCAAGTTCAAGGGGTATTGGAGAAAACAATAAACTGCACTATGTTGTTGTCAATACGCGACGTTTCGCTTGTAATTCAAGCTTCCTCAGGGTCTTGACATTTAAGTACATAGTCATATTATACTTAAATGTCAAGAGCCTGACAAGTATAATGTGACTATGTACTTAAATGTCAAGAGCCTGAGGAAGCTTGAATTACAAGCGAAATGTCGCGTATTGACAATAACATAGTGCAGTTTATTGTTTTCTCTAATACCCCATGAACTTGGATTCTTAATATTAATTATGGAGATGAATGGGTTCATTGAATGAAAGCAATTGTGCGAGTACATCAAAAATTCGAGAAAAGGATGATACTGTGACTCGCGATGATGCCATTACCAATGCTAATGATGAAAGCGATGAAGAAACTGAAATCAACGTGAATGGCAATAGACCCGCTCTCAAATCACACCCTTGCGAGCCTGCTTTAAAGAAACGCGATGTCACTGCCTGTCCCATTTGGACGTTATTGAAGAAAACAAGTGCGGGTCGCAGCATTCTAGCTGAATATTCGAATAAATCCCATCTTTCTGAAAGAGCATCTCTCGATTTGTGCAATATCATCATCACCGAATATTTAGTGGATTGCAACACGTATGTACTATGTTTAATTCTAATTTTTGCTGGTTATCTAAAGTGATGGAATAATATTGAATTTTTTTCTTTGTTGAAGGTAGGGTAATTGACAAATGTCAATTCTTCGACTTCAAGATACAGATTTATTCCATTTTCCCACAAGAAGACCCACATGTGTACTATTGGTCGCCGATTTCAAAAAAAAGTTCAGCACGCAAAATCTCAGAGCAAGCACGTGGTCGTCTGTATGAAATATCGGAAAAAATTGAAATTATTCCGCTTTAGAAGTGGAGTCACAAATTCATCAAATCCCGAAATGCTTCAAACCGATGTTGAAAGTGGTAAATATCCTGATCAGATTTTTCATTGAATTGGCTCTATTTTGTCACTAGTCGTTCAGCTGAAAAATTTATATCTATTTTTACTGAATTTACAGACAAGAGCGAAAGCTTTGAATACATCGTACACAACAAGGAGATTGGGCCCGAGTTATGCTTTCATTGGGAAGAGACTTCCGATGTTCGTTTGAATAAATTGGTTGAAACTAACGGAAAAGTCAGTGATTATTTGAGCCAGTATCCAGTTTTGGCCGAACCATCTGGCTATACTTTTCTGGAATTGGACTTCGTACAACGTTTTAAAGTGAAAGAAACCGATATCTACAAGAAATGGCAGAATTTCCATGAAAAACCACTGTCATTGGCCAGTGTTCATCAGAAGAAAACCATTGACGATCATATTCAGTCCTTGAAGAAAGACATTCCTGCGTGTAAGTAAACCTCTTTTGATTCAATTCGAGGAAAAAACAGTGTTGGTTGTTGACCTTCTTTAAATATACCATAAATTCCAATACAGATTACAGGATTCTTCTTCAAATCTGGATGCTCCCATACTTGGTGCTACCGAGAACGAGGAAAACTCTCTAGACACCTGAAGGAAAGCAACAATGGAGACCCAGTGTTAGTGAATGCCAGTCAAGCATCATCATCCACGTCAAGGCAACTTTTCTCTTCAATTACTTTGGGGCCTCTTGATTCTAATAAAACTCATGAACAATTTTTCATACCCAAAACATTGAGTTATAAAAATCGATATCGTATTTCGCTCGGCAGATATCCGGGGACATCCAGAAAACAATTGACGAAAGGAGTACTGTGATGCAGAGCAAGGGTCCAACTGTGCAGCCATATATAATCGCCGTTGGACCAACTTTGGAGGAGGTGACAGGATACTACGTCATCGTGGAAAAAATCCGGTATTCATTCAATTCCCCTTTAAAAACTCTTCATGTATGTTTTCAAATTTTCCACGTCTGCAGTGCCGTATATTCATTCGAAAGTGAACATTTGTGGTTGATAATACAAAGAGCACTCTATGGAATTCACACAAAGTGGGATCGACCAGCTGCGTTCGTAGGTCAAATTATTAATTGTTTAAAGGAGTAAATCACGCCAGACATATCCGTCCAAACCATAATTAAATACACATTTGAGTCTTATCATAGAAATTAATCAAAGTCGTGTATTTCTTTCATTTCCTGTGTCCATCATGTCTTATATATGTCCAAGGTGTTCTCAGACACTGAAAACTGATAGGTTGTTGTGGGCGCATATTGAATTGAAACACAATTTCACTCGTTACGAATCAGTGCGTTGTTGTCAGCCCGGATGCATTCGTGAATACAAATCTTTATACGACTTCAAAAAACATGTAAGCAGAGCACATTCCAATCGACATTCTACAATTCTCAAATTTCTGATGATTTTCCTCCAAGTCTACCTGGGGAGGATGCATTGGAACCTCATTCTTCTGTCGAGTCAAATCACCAAATTCACAATTCCGCTGCATTCCAAAAAAATCGTCACAAATGATGCATTGTCCTTTGTTGCCAAATTATATTCTAAACCCGACATCACACGATCAGTTATTCAAGATATAGTAGAAAATACGAATGAATTATTCAGCTCAGAATACGTAGAAATTTTGAAAGAAGTCCATGCGAAAAATGATTCACCAGATATTAAAATACTATTCAATTCTATGGTGAATATTCTCACGAATCCATTCAAGGGTTTAGAGTCTGACTACAAAAGACAAAAACATTTTGAAACAACAGGGCATCTCATGCGACCGCGACCTTTTTCTATTGGCACAAGTCCTGCACCAGGGAACAGTAACGGAACTACTTCTCTAGTTTTAAAGGAAATAACCAGGCAGTTAATTCCTATAGGAGATATTTTGAAGAAATTTTTAGAATTACCGAATGTTCTTTCAACTATAGAAACTTTTATACCCAAGGTACAACAGCCTTTCTAAATGATCAGTTATGGGAACAAACGCGCGCTAAATTCGAGGGAAAATTCGTCCTACCATTGATGATGTTCTTTGATGATTTGGAAATTAACAATCCGCTCGGTTCTCATAAAGGAGTCAACAAAATCGGTGCGGTATATTGTAAGATTTTAGGCATTCCTCCTGAATACGATTCGATGCTAGAGAATATTTTCTTTCGTGCAATTACACACTACAAAAGACTTGAAAACATTGGGAAATTATAGCGTATTTACGGCTCTTCACGACGAATTATTGAATTTCGAGAGAAGAGGTATTAGTGTAGAGACAAGCACAGGGATCCGTCAAGTTTATTTTGCAGTGGCTTTGTTCGGAGGTGATAATCTGGGGATACATACTATATTCGGGTTTCACGAACGTTTCAGTTCCAATCATTATTGTGACATATGTCGCGCACATAAAAGTATTCTACAGAACGCCGTAGTTGAAGACAAAACATTGTTGGGAACGAAAGAGAATTTCACCGAAGACTTAGCAAATTTTTCGCATGGACTGAAACAAGACAGTATTTTCTACAATCTTCTTATGTATCATATTGCCTCCAATATCTATTGTGATGTTATGCATGATATTTTAGAAGGACTCTACAGAGATGTAGTTCCAAAAATTTTGTACTCTCTGATTTATGAACAAAATCATCTCCAATTTGGATCATTTGAATGACAGGATTACATTTTTTGATTGTGGAAAACAGAAAAGATCGAAACACATTCCCACTTTCACAGAATCAGCGTTGATAAATGGGAATTACTTGTCCTCAGCTTCGGAGATGAAACTTTTACTAGAGACTTTGAGTTTCATAATTGGTGATTTGATACCAGAGGGAAATGAGACGTGGCAGTTGTAGATTTTATGGAGGGAAATCCATTGTATGCTCTTAAGCCCAAAAATAACGACCGAAAACATGGAATTGCTAAGAACATTGATAATGAAGCATCATCGTTTATACCAAAAGCTCTTCAAAGAATCCTTGAAATCCAACTTCCATTTTCTCGTTCATTATCCTCGACTCCTCCTTCGGAATGGACCGGTCTATCCATTATCAGCCATGCGATTTGAAGCGAAGCACAAACAAATGAAAGAAAGTGCCAACGTTATGCGATCAAGGAAGAATCGAGATACGCGGCAGCGTATCGGCCAAGAAAAGTTTTGACTCCGATTGTACAAAACATCAGGCCGATCGCTGCCGTGTATCTATACACGAAGCAACTACCCCCTCCACTACCTCCGAATCATATCCATTAAATAAAATACAAACGTGACGAGCTACATGAAAAATACTCTTAGTTACATTATATAAATTGGCCACAAGCTTCTCATTGATGTAACTATTTTTTTGTTCGAAGCAATATTTAAAAAAATACGCGCATAGCAACGGGTTCATATGCACATTCTCGCATTTCACATCAACTCCTATCATTTTTTTGTTACGGAGTTGGTAGCAGTGCAATAAAACCACATGCACTAAGGAGGGAAGCCCGGGAATTTACAAATTGAATATGGTGCACGAATGATGAATTCCGCAGATATTTTTTATTCGAGTTTCGTGCACAAATGAATTCTCGAAGAAGCAAATTCAGTCGGAAAATCTTGAATAAATAATTAAAAGTCGGTGCAAATAACGACTGTGGAATAGAACTATTTGTTTTACTTCGATTGTTAATTGGAAAGATGATTTATCGTGTGAAAAATAAATGAGCCGAATTGAATTGAAAATGAAAAAATTTACAGGATATAAAAACGATTCCTTGTTTATTTTGAAAAAAATAATGAAATCTCCCTAAAAAAACAAAAACACATGTTTTTGTAAAAAAACTGCGCCAAGAAAAAGTTTTGTTTGGTTCTTACTGGGAAGTAGAAATTTTTGAAAAATACAAAGAAATGAAAAAGAAAGCCAAGTCAGCAATGTCGAATAAACGAAAATAATGCACAATCAGATTTCTATAAGAGAAATAGTTTCAAATCGAATGAGGATTTAAAAAAAATTCTTGATGAAATAAAAAATTAGTAGAAGGAGGACCAACGTTCTTGGCGCGGAGTTTTTCAACTCATTGTCTAGTATCAATCTAATTCTCCATCTTCTGATCCGCGCCAAGGACGTTGGTCCTCCTTCTACTAATTTTTTATTTCATCAAGAATTTTTTTAAAATCCTCATTCGATTTGAAACTATTTCTCTTATAGAAATCTGATTGTGCATTATTTTCGTTTATTCGACATTGCTGACTTGGCTTTCTTTTTCATTTCTTTGTATTTTTCAAAAATTTCTACTTCCCAGTAAGAACCAAACAAAACTTTTTCTTGGCGCAGTTTTTTTTTACAAAAACATATCTGCTATTCACTAGCACTGAAACATCAGTTGAGTATTGCTGAACGATTTCAGGCCCAGAAAGGATTTAGTCTTCGATTAGATTTCGGCCCTAGTTACATAATTGAACCAAAGGATCTCCCCGATTATGATCAATTACGAATTTTCATTCCTAATCACGAACTTGAACCTTACCATAACGTAGTTCCGTGGGCAGAGATAAGTAGTACAAGGTATCAGTGCAATATGGTTATCGATGTCAAAAATGCAGGCAATGAAATAGAGCATGGTGAAATCAAATATATATTATTGAATGATTATCGTGAGGTATCATTCATATATGTTAAATTGAATATATTGGATTTTGTTAAACATGTACATCTACCTTTGAAAACTCATCCGAGTGGGGATTTAGTGCTTATAAACAATTAAAATACTACAAACCATCCAATGTACATACTATAGCGAGCGGTAAGAAATATTTGCCGTGCCGATAAATTTCTTACTGACAAGCCCGAGATTTTCGTCACCCATATATGCGATGTACATTCGTAATGTAAAAAATGTAAAATCGTAATGTAAAAAATGTAAAAAGCTGTCCACTACACATGCATGTTATGTATATTATGGAGATTGAAATTTATGAAAATCATCAGAATTTATTGCCATTCTAGGATACTCTATTTTCATGAATGTATTATATTCTGATAGATGTTAAGCTACCCAACTAATTTTATTTGGAATTAAGTGATTAATGTTCTATCAATGAAATCAATATTAATTGTAAATTTACACTGAAAATTTGATTACCTTGAATAAATGTATAAAAACAATTAAGTTTCTGTAATTGCAAGGGGTGGATTTCTTGGACCCGTTTATTGTCCTATTGAATCGAGGAAATGATTCATTTAATCATTAAATGATTGGTGGGAGAAACCCATCTGGGGTTCCACTGAATGAAATTCCAGTTCAACCAAGAAAAATTTTAATTAATCAAACTGAAAAGAGAGTTGAACAAAAGAATGTTTCCTGTAACTCCAAATGCTAATGCGAGAAACCTATATATTGTCGATTTCATCATCTAAGGGATTGATAGAATCGGCCGATGACTCCTATTGAACCTAGTTTCAGTAGATGTATCTCTATCGCAAGTTCCTTTAGCATAAAAATGAGTTTTCTTAAACGTAGAAATACTCTTGACAACCATTTGTGGAGTTGAGCTAGCTTTATTTTGAAGCAGTGTAACTACTACCTGAGTCCCTTAATACTGAAAAATATTCTCTCCAGGTCAATGAAGGAGTCCGTCGGTCCAACCATATACTGTAATGGCAATTTTTATTCTTGAAAGAAGTGTTTCGTGGGTCAATAGTGCTATAAATTATCCGCTAGGGATTTAGTGGCGGTCATTTTAACTACCCCAAAGGTTCGTACGCTCTCTACCTGCACCCTTCCAACCGTATATTGGCTTCGCCCAACGCCCGCGCGTCAACGCATTTCGGGAGCCCACACCACTTAAAAACGTGATGGATATATACAACTTTAGGAATGAGTTGACATACCGCGTTTTAGTTGGCTGGGCTCAATTTTTTTCTCAGCGTATATACTTACCCTCGTTATTCATAACCATTTCTTCAACAACATCTCGATATCTTGTTTGTGAAAACACTTGGACCCTTAGAGGGAGAATACTCGAGTACTACTTTTTTCGAGTCCTTGGTTGAACTGATTTTTTTTGTGTGAGAAAATTTTGGAGGCCTCGAAACAAGTGGTAATCAAAAAGCACTAGATCCGGAAAATATGGTGGACGATACATAAGTTCCCAATTAAATTGCTTTAATTTTCAATGACTACTT